AGACTGATTTACTAAACAAGAACTGATTGTGTAAGAATAATAATCTTGTTTTCAGAATGTGTAAGATTATTTGTCTTATTAGTCTGAAAATTTGACTCAAATGAAGTCCAAAAATTTCTGCCAGTGGAGAAAGAAAATTTTACTTGGTAAAACAATATAAAAAACACTGCAAAATACATTGTTCTGTGAAAGCAGGCTGATTTATTGGATGAAAGCAAATGTTCTCTGAAGCTCAGGATTATGGGCTGCTTTCCTCCTGATGCTGAATAAAGAGAGGAAGGAAACCAAACAGCAACAGGAGGAGATTTTTCTGGGAGAAAGATGTTTTATGGAAATGAAGCTGGCGAGTGTTTCTCTCCAAACATCATGACGCAGTTGCACTTACGCGCTTGTAAATATGCAGCTCAAGTGACAATTACATCTCCTGGCTGCCATTCACACACTCAGTGACAAATGGAAACCGACTGCTGAGTCATGATTTGACACATGAATGAGAGTTTCATTAATGCTTCAGTGAGGGTTTGTTCTGGGAAGTTGTTCTAAATCACATGGTGACATTTGATCAGGAAACAGAACATTTTAAGACACCTGAACATCAGTTTCAGTGTGAAAGAACGGATGTGGGCTTTAATGCTTTTAGTGGCAATAACAAAAAATAACAGGGCTTTTGCACACAAATTATTGAGAGTAACATTTACTTTATATTTTAGTTTTAAACAGTTTATACCCACTTTATGTGTCCTCTACCCCTTTTTGTACACTCTACTCTTACTTTATTCTGCAGGGTACCCAGGAAATATGTTTGTAGATTATTCTGCTGTCGTTGGATTGATTGCCAACAATAAATCAACGAACAGCAGGGAGTTAAAGTTTGCCGATTGGTTTATGGAAAACAACTTGAGCATCATTGTGACATAAATAAAAGAGAACACGCTGGATTCAGATTAGACCTCTACTCCCCTCATCACACACTTGGGCCTGCATGTGTTGGATGACCTCACATGAGCTACAAAGCCAGCATCACTAGGAAACTCTCCAACAGCTTTGTTTTATGAGGAGGCTGAAGCATTGACCTCACTGCAGCTGTGTTGAACTTCTTGTTATCAGTGTGTGGTGGAAGGTTTTCTGGCCTTTTCTGCTGAAAAGACTGATAAAATCAGAAATGGCTCATCAAGCTCTGGATCCCTTCAAAAAGCCATTCCCATCTCTAGACCCCAGCCACCCAGATTATAAATTCTTCCCCCCTTCTCCTTCAAGCTGATTGTTATTTATTCATTATATATATATTTTTAGACTAGTCTGATGAACACATTTTGTTTTCATGTGTCTTAMAAGTGCTGAATGACAATAAATCTAATTCTGTTTGCACATTGTTCTCACAGACCTTGACATGACTCCTTTAAGTGAAACTCTAAACTGTAGCGTCACACTTAAGTCCTCGTCTATCCTCGTCTCTCTGTCAGCATCATGTCTGACAGAGGCGCAGCGTGCAGCGGGCTGCTGACATTCTGTTGACCTTTTCTGCACCATCAGCTCAACCAGTTTGAGTCACATTCACCTGGGGCATCAGCGCTCAGAGATGCCCAAGTCACACATCACAGTCCGGTAAATAAAAGAAACATCGGAAAAGCTATTTTTGAAGACTCTGGGAATTTTAAAAACTCTTCACAGAAGCCGAAAACAAGTAGATGACAAACTCAGCAGACTTTACAGCACTTATTATTTATATGATGATATAAATAAGTTAAACTCTACTTTTCATTTGATTTAGACCCATTAAAAGTTTGCCTATATAAATACTGTATATTTCAGTTTTGATATCTTTGTATCATTTACTGTAGTTCATTTCTTAAAATCAGTTTGTGCTTCAAACTCTAGAAATCATCCAGTTTTCGGGGCCACAAACAGGCTTTTTTGTTGTTCCAAGAGCTCTTTACGGTGACAGAAATAGGAATGCTGCTCAAGGGCTGTTTGTGTAAGTGTGTGTGAGTGTGTGTCTTCCTCCCACACCAACAACGAAGCAGAGTTGAGGTGATTGCTTTGACTCTTTTGTGTAAGAGGAAAATAACTTTATAACTGAAACCTACATATAAAGTTAAACTCATGAGGTTAGTTTGACAGTATCACCTGTTTGTGGAAAAGCACAGAAGAGTTCAGTCAGAGTACAGACAGGAGTTTTGTGTGTGTGTTCAGGTTTGTAAGGACTGCACTGAGGTCACAGAACAGAAAAACATCATCAGGATAGAACATAGGGGACACGTCTGAGATCAATTTATAGTTATGTAGGCAGGAGGATTTACTCACCGAGTCCTAAGCATGATACTCTGAGCCCTGACTTCCCAAGATTCCTGTATAAACAGAAAAAAAAGAAAACCACAATAAATGTTTTATGTAAAAAGCAAATTGTAATATCATGTACAGGAGAAAAATAAAAGAACAAGAAAATCAATAAAATCACTCTTATTTATTTGTGTAGAAAACTCTGATCAACAATTCACAATGAAAATGAATATAGTGTATGAATCATATAGGCAAACAGTTAATAATCAGGACTTTAATATTTACACAGATGTAAATTGGCTTTGAGGTGATTATGAWATGTTTTGAATCATCTTTTTGACGCAGTATGAATGATTTTTTACATATTCTAACTGTAACATAAGGCAAACATGAGCTAAAATAAACTAAAAATGCTAAAATATGTCAAGCTAAAACAAACCACCAAGTTGTGTGTACTTCTACTACACATACTATTCACTTYGTTACAGTAACACTTCATGCTTCTAAATTGTTTTACTACTAAAATGTGCTAAGCTACGTGATGCTAACCTGAGCCGAGACAAGCTAAAATGGGCTAAGTTCAAATGCTTAAATAAAATGTACAGAGATGAGGAAGTTCCTCTGCATCAAAACACAAATGGTTTAACAGGAGGTTTTGGACCCAGAAATGCAAACTGCAGCAAAACAACTACTACTTTATTTATAAAGCACTTAAAAAAACAACCACAGCTGCAACAAAGTGCTGTACGTGTAAAACATATAAAAAAAGAATAAAACCAGTTAACACTATAAAATAGGGATAAAATAAACAAAATATATAGTCTCAGGTTGTGCCAAAAGCCAGGGAATAAAAAGGCGTTTTTAAGAGTTTCAAAAATTTAAAGTGAAACGGCTCATCTGACAGGAAGTGGGAGATCGTTCCATAATTTTGCAGCAACAACACAAAACTCTGAGCTTGGACCTGATCTGCTGACCTGAGGCACCGAGCAGGAGAGTGTGTGTGAATCKGCTCAGAGAGGAGCTAACAAACAATTTGAGGATGATCACAAGGAGGAGGCACAAACACAAGAATCAAACTGAACCCAAGGATAAACACAGAAACTAATGTCATAAGAAATAAACAGAAAACTAAACAATGGTCTTTACATTATTAATCTTTATTCGTTCATTCAAAAAAAAAATTAATTTCATTAAAAATAACTATATACAATAAAAAACCAAGAAAATACACAAATCAAAAAAATAATGAAAGGTAGCAGAAGAAGAATAAATCTTATCATGTCTGCCCCTGTTATCCCCAGAATATATTCAAACAAAACATAATTTACAAAACAATAGTAAATAAAAAACATCAACTCAAACAACAATTCTTAGCTTCACATTTTACTTTTCCATATACCTTCAACACACTAGCTTTTATCTGTCTCTTAAATATTTACATAGATCTGGCATTTTTAAGATCATCCTCCAGAGACCATTCCATAATCCTATACCCTGGATTAAACTATACCCTAGATTAAAC